TCATTACGTTTGTTCTAATTACACAAATTTTATCTTATTAAATTTTTATTGTGGGCTTTCTTCTTCTTTATGATTATGGAATTATTGCATTTATTAAAAAGTTTTGATTTTTTTTAATATATTCTAAATGTATAACAAATGGAATAATCTCTTACAAGTAAAATATAAAACAATACATTTAATTTGGAATATAAAATTAACAATTTCCGGTACTCTTAATAACATTTTACTTCTATATTTCAGTATATTTTAAATTAACATGTCTTACAATTTTCAAATGTATACCATAATTCTAATAGCAATACCCGCGAAATTGGATTATAAAAATAAATTTAAACTAAAATTTACATAAAGAAATAAATGTGGTCTTAATAACTAAATAAAATTTTATATACATATACTAAATCGTCAGGCATTGTACAAATAAATATTGGATAAAAAAAAAGGAAAAATATGAATAATAATTTTGTAAGAATGAAAAAACAAATCGGTAAAAAAAAAAGGAAAAACCGGTAGAAAATATTTAACACGAACGGAAAATAAGGATAATTTTATTCCTTTTTTTTTTGTATATTTGTGTATATACTAACATTGTACACGTATGAATATTAAAATAAAATTCTGGACAACTTTTTCATATAATGTTGAAGAGTTCATTGTACTTTAAACAGAAAGGAAAATAATAGCTTTCTTGGACCCAATAACTACTACTTAATAATAATAATAACAATGTAAAAAAAACTTATGTCCGACTCTACATTTTTTCTATATTCTTTTCATTTCATATTTTTGCGAAATTAAATAGTATTTAAACATGGCAAGTCATATAAGATTATTATATTGTGTTAATGGGCTCCTTCTATGAATATAATTTATTCAATACATTGTAAAATATTAATTACATAACGGCGATTGAACTGCAAACACATACAATTATGTGTATGTCAGAGTATATGATTTAAAATAACAAAATATCAACGTTCTATGTTTCAAATTGAATAAGGCTCTAAGAAAATTTTCTATATATATTGAATAATTTAAAGCATATTGCATGTTATACAGAGTAGCTTATGACTAATTTCAAATTATTTTTAGGTTTTTACTTTAAAAGTAATAATTTAGTGTGTATATTAAGTTGATAAATTATCAGTTAATTATTAATTATATATATATACAAGCAGGTGTGCTTGTAATTATATATTTTAAGTTCATAATAAATTTTTTTTTTTATTGAATTACATAATATTATTAAGGTAAAAATATTTGTAAGTATAAAGAGTGGAGTATTTTAATATACCCTTTAAATTATTTCATACAAATTAGTTTTGCTATAATAACCTTTTAATTCCTTAATTTTCATTTATTACATTAGTAGGGGTTTTAAAATAAACTTTCAACTGAATAAATCCATATGCGTATCAAAATTTAATTTTTAGACATAATCTTTTCCCACTAAATATCTTTAAGAGAAAGACATTAAGAAAATTTCCACCTTCTCATTTTCTTAAGTTCACTTCGTCAGGAATACAATTATGACAATAGGATTGATGAGGAGTCGTTTTCCTTCCACATATATATGCATTAGTTGCTTTTTCTGCATCTTTCTACAATAGAAACGGTAATACATTCGGTAAATTTTCAATTTCAGTAAAAATTTTCTACACACACAAAAAACGTATTCAATTAAAACACAAGATTCATTTTCGTCATAATAAAAACAAACATATATTACTCGTTTATTTTAGAAACCAAAAAAATATAGCAAACCATTTGAAAAATTGTCTGAAAATTTAATGAATGTTACCGAAAATTAAATTTTATAAGTAAAAAAAAATAAATAAGTAAAATTAAACACGTAATAATAAAAGTGAAATTGGTAGTAGCCAGTATATTGCGTCACTTTTTTTAAAGTCACGAAATTATTAAATTGCCCTTGTATAAAATTAACTTTATTTCTAAGGGGAAAACGTTACGTAAACATTTATTATTGTGTTTTAAATTGACAAAGGTAACAATATTAAATTTAACATCTCTTATTAATATTATACGGTTATTGCAATATCATTTTAATGTAGGCAACATACTGCTACCACAAATTTTGTTGCAATTAATATAAAGGATTTTTCATCACGAGACAATTAAATTTCAATAAATACTATAAGAGTCGAGACTAGTTAATAGTTTGATGAAAAAAATAATAATGAATTGCAATCAAAATTACAATTAATACAATTTGTCAGAAATTTGAATAATTTGGGTAAAAAAAAAACACGTTCATGGGACAAGGTTTGTTATTTTTACTCAGATAACACTGACGTTGGAATTGTCATAATAACGTATCGATATAAACAAAGCAATTGGTATTTATAAGCTGAATTCTGCTGTATTAATACGGCATTATTACAATTCTGATGTAAGAGTATCTGAGTTGTAATTTATAGAAAGTTTTGATAAAATTAAATTTTCTAATATTATACTTATTGTAGCGTATATTTCAATTTTATAAAAAAGCTATAATAGATAGCTTTATGTAGATTCAGATAAAATTACTCGTATAGTAGAGGTTTTTGGAGAAAAAAATAAAGTTTTATGTGAAAATAATAAAATTCTGCATTAATAGCTTAACTCTATAGAAAAAATTTCAAACCATATATTAATTATATTAAAATAGTAACATTAATTAAACTAGTTGAGATAGTTTAGGTCATTTTGGGAGATTAGGAGACAGAATTGGCCATTAGTAAATTATCAAACGTTTTAATCGAAATAATGCTTTCTATAACTATCATAAAATAATTTTATAGTATAAATGAAATATTTCATATTTTAAGAAAATATAACAAATGTCTATATATAAAGAGTACAATTACATTTATGTATAAATATATAAAAAATACTCATTCAAGGCCAATTAAACCATACATTTATACTTTAATTAAACAAAATATGAAGAATTATAAATATAAACAAATTATTAAAACAAAATTATTTTCACTTTAATTAAAGTGAAAATTCTGTAATAATTTTTTTTGTTCTTCATTTTTTTCATTTTTTATAAAAATAAATTTTATGGCGGCATTGTATTATATATTTTTAATAAATTTTTGGTATTATCGTGACATTGTAATAATTTTTTCTTATGTAAACATTTTCTATTGTATAACTTTATTACATTATATGTATACATATATAGTATATAATTGTATTATAAAAAAAAAAAATATAGAAAATTCCATAAATAGATTAAAAATTATTTTAATAATTGATTTATAATATCTTTCATATAATATTATATTATTAGAATATAATGCACATATAAATGTATATAATGTTATATAATGTAAATATGTAAAGGATATTTTCTTTAGGGATTACAATGATTTATACTAAAAAAAATTACTCTTGCAATTAATGTGGAATGTGTTTAATGAAAGTTTTGTAATATTTAAAAAAAAAAAAAATTCAACAAAATTAATTATAGAAATAATTATCGTTGATTAAATTATAATTAATAAATACTTACATGTATTTAAATTTATAATGTAATTATTAATAACACGTGTAAATACAGTGTTAATTAAATGTTAAGTAAACTGCTAAATTAATGTTAAAACTAAAGTTTAAAAAATAATTAAGTCAAATAATATTGTTAAATACATGTACGTATGTAAATTAAACTACGTTTTAATTTAACGGTGTATGTATAATAATCTAGACGTATAACACTCCCAGGTGTATAACAATTTGAACTTAATCACTAATTAAGTTCAAATACCTATTACGTATGTAATGAAGTAGTTTATAGAACATTTATTCTATATAAATGACTTAATATTTTTCAAAAAGATGATTTGAAGGTTTGAAAAAACTTAATATTTAAAAATTTTTGTAACTGCAAACCTTGCTCCGAAAATGTTATGCCAAGTAAATTTTCAATAAGATAGATTTATTTTGATTTTAACATGCATGTTTTAATAACAAATTCTAAAAAAAATTTTAAAAGATAAGATTAAAATAGCTTTCTTCTGTCTCCTCCTTCTTCCTCCTTATTTTCATTTTGTTTTGCTTTGTTAAAAATGATTTCAAAATGTGTCTATCAAGTATTGAACCTGATATTAAACATAAAGTAGTAAATCGATAAAATTAACTTTCTCATTAAGAATAAGGTTTTATAAGAAGAAGCCCATATATTTGATAATGTACTTATTACCCAAATAAGGAAATTCATGAATAAATCAAAAAATTAATGAATGGACAAACGTTTTGAAAAATATTTCTATAGGTGCCCGTAAAATGAAATTAGTTGAGAAACATTGCTCTAGAGTTTACAGTACAGAATTTTATATAATCCTTTGTCTTAACAGTTTATTAATATTGTACAAAGTTGTTCACAATTAAGTAAAACTTATCAATAATTTCAGTATGTAACACTCAATTGGAATATATAGATCATTTAAATTCAATGTTTATTTCAAAGATATTTGTAATATGGAGATTTTTATTGAGCAGAATTGATCTTTTGCTCATCCAAATGGAATTTTGAAATATTAAGGCTGGTAAAGTAACGAAAATAATTTAATTAATTATTTTTCAATAAAATTAAATTTAATATTAAATTTTTTATTAAAAACTATTATTAATGACTTTATAATTTCTAAAATAACCATTTAAATTTTCTTCTTTTATTTCTTCCAGATTCTGAGAAATTTCATCGTATTTGAGTCTATTATGAAATAAACTAAATAATTGGATTAAATAACATATCTTTGCCGAATAATTTCTTTTATTTTTTCATTGGTTTTGATTGTTCCTACTTAAAAGAAAATTATTTTACCAACAAACACACACATACACAAATAAAATAAAAATAAATATGAAAAGAATTCAAAACAAAGTTATAGAAGAAAAATATTAAAAAAAAAAATATAAATAGCGAAAAGTTTTTATGAAAATATTTGAAATATATATGTATATAATTTTATATTGTAAAATATTGTGTAATGAATCGGTATATAACACTTAATCAATTAGGTGATGGCACCTATGGTACGGTTGTCCTTGGGCAACGAAAGGACACTGGTGAAAAAGTTGCAATTAAAAGAATGAAAAGAAAATATTATTCATGGGAGGAAGCAATGAATTTAAGAGAAGTTAAAGTAAGTAAACAAACTGTAGGGTAATATAAAAGAAATTTAAAAATTTTGTTTTGTTTAATATTAGAAAATTATAATTGAATAATTTGAATTTTTGTTGGTTTAACTAAATTTAGAAGAAATGAATGTAATGTGGTTAAAAATAACAATTGCCTAAGTCGAATTTAGTATTTAAATATTTTATTGTAAATTTAATTTCTCTATAGTTTTATCTTTTTGATCTAGTAAAAATTTATTTAATTAAATTTTTTAACTTATATAAGGCAATTTTCTTGTGATCATTTTCCTTGCCTTGATTTCAAAAGAAATGATGACTTTATTTTCTCCTAAAAATATGCAATATTTTAATAAATTGGTTTTTATACTTTTTGTATTGCCTGTATTAAAAACTTTTTTGTAACTGATATTCAAGCAATTTTCTTGATATTTTTAGTACTAAATTCTAGCTTACTTAAAAATAAGTCTCCTAAATATATGCAAAATTTCTTTATTACAAAAATTTTATCTAAAAATAAAAACATTCTAAAAAGAAAAACTAATGCAAATTCTTAATAAATTTTAATTTAATTATTTTAAACTATTCCTTGAAATTAGTTAAATTTAGTTTGTAGCAAGGTAACATTACTAAAAATAAAACATTATGTTTATGTATTTGGGTATAAGTGTAGTACATTTTCTTTACAAGCAATGCGACAAAATTTTATTTTAAAAATAGAAAATAAACAAAAATTCCTTTATATTTTTCTCTATTGTTATTAAAATAATTTATTTTTATTATGTTTCTTTTGTTTCCTTTAATATTTCAAACAAAAAAAAAATAAATCTAGTCCTTGAAGAAACTTTCACACGCTAATGTTGTCAAATTAAAAGAAGTAATACGTGAGAATGATACCTTGTATTTTGTATTTGAATATATGAAAGAAAATTTATATCAATTAATTAAGGATCGAGAAACACATTTTCCAGAGAGTTCAATTAAAAATATATTATATCAGGTAAGTAATATAAGAAAAAATTTAAAATATTTCCAAGGTTTTTGTTTTAAAGTTGTTAACAATAGTAAAAAACTTTAAAACAAAAACGTATTTTTCATATTGTTAAAGATAAAATTTATTTTATCTTTAACAATAAATTTTATCTTTAACAATAGTATAACATATCAAATAAAATAAAAATAGCTTTTGTAATTTGTAAACTTTCACAGGTTTGTTCTTAAAAATGCAGTATGCATTTCTAAAATAAAATTAAAATAAAATTGTTTGAGTTGATTTTAATGTAGAAGTGCGAAAACTTATTGCTCTTTTTGTTCAAAAATCTTAAGCTAAGTTATTAACAAATCTTAAGCTTAGTTGTTTTTTAAAAACGCAGTTCTACAAATTAATAAATTAATTATGTAAAATTAAAATTATGTAAAATGTAAAATTATTATCTACAAATTATTAAATTAAATTTGTCAATTTTGTTTTCTTAAAGATTTCATTAAAAATTGTAATTTTGAATAATTTTTTAAGTTATCACAGTTGCAGAATTAAAAATACAATTTTGAACAAAATTTCTGAAAATTTAACACAATCCTGTTGTAGTTTCCATGATTTGATTGTTTTTTTCAAGCAGTGCATTTCAGTTTAAATAATTCTTATTAAACCTACATATTATACATTTAATGCGATTTAGTACTATGTTATAAAATAGATATTTATTTTAAATATTTATTTATTTTTGAACAATAGGTACTTAATGGTTTAGCATTTATGCATCGTCATGGTTTTTTTCATCGTGATTTAAAACCAGAAAATTTATTATGTTCTGGTCCAGAATTAGTTAAAATAGCTGATTTTGGTTTAGCTAGAGAAATAAGATCAAGGCCACCATTTACGGATTATGTTTCAACAAGATGGTAAGTAAGCATTTTAAACAGTATCTATCTAGTTTTAATAGTATCTATCTATAAGTTTAAAATTCATTTAATAAAATATAATATTAACGTAAAATATTCGAAGGCGGTTACTGTTTTATTTACAGTGTGATGCCAATAAACTTATTAAAGTATTAATCAATTTTTTAATATCGTTAATATTTTATTTACATACTTCAAAATTTATTGCTTAAAATTAAACGATTTTATTAAATTTTTTCTTATTATTTCTAAACTAACTTGTGTATGTTATATAGAAATTTGAAGACAGTAAACGTTTAATTCTACATCATATATAGCTTTTTTTATTCGCGTGTACGCTCTAAACTTATATTAGTAGTGTAATATACTTAACCGATAAAATTATTAAAAAAAAAATGTTTAAATTAAAAATACATTGGCTAATATTTTGCATGAATAAAAATTAAAACCAAAATCTCTAGAAATATTGCATATCTACTCTCTATGTTATATAATTGCTTCATATTTATAGAGAAAAAAAGCGTGTATATCTGTCGTGATAATAATTTTGAAATATAAAAGAAAAAATTAGATTTTCTGAATGTTTTGTAATTAATGAATTAGTTAACTTGAATTTTAAATGAAGTATAAAAATAAAATCAATAATAATAATAAAAAAAAAATCGTATAAAATATTTAAAATGGTTTATATATAGTATGTTACTTAAATATTTTATATTATTTTATATGAAAAGTTTATGATTATAAGACTTTAAGATTGACTCGTGTTATAGTAATTTGTTATGAATTTTAAGTATTTTACAACACTATAAATATTCAGAAATAATTTCAATAAGTTGGTTTTTATTAATTAAATAAAAAACCATTTATCAAAATAATTTTTTTTTTGAAAAGTTTCTCAACTCCATATAATAAATTTTACTTTATCGAATATATGTATAAGAAAACATTAAAATGCTTACATGATTTTTGTTAAAAATGAGTTGGCACTATCCTCTTAGCAATATTTATTGAATTTTCTTTCGAAACCGGCAAGTTTTAAATAAGTTTTCTAAGCAAGAATGAATTTTTAGCTTTCTCTTTATGTTTATTTGAGAGAGATGGTTAAATACAATATCAATAATGTTAAGCATTATCATATTATTAAATTGATTTTTAAGGTGATATCATACTTTATAATAGTATTCTTGTATGCCTAGTACGTTATAGCAACAAGCATTATTTGTACATTTAAATCATGTAGAGAAATTTATATCGAGTAGTACAATATACGAAACTGTAGCTATTAACTACATACTGAAATATTTTAATTTTTAATAAAGCAATAATTGGATTCTTTGAATTTTTAGGAAATCTAAGATTAGTTTAATACATTAGTTTGGCTATGGTGAACGTGCTTCTTACGGCAGTAACACGTCCATTTTTCTTTCTTAAATATTTATTGTAATTTTTTTTTTGAATTTAATCATTTAAATTTTAAGTATAAGATAATAGTTCAGTGTTATAATTAATTTAATTAATTTACATATTGTGTTTTCCATAATATTCTGAGTTCATAATCTTGTTAATTATTATAGAATGCAATTTCATTCTATTTTTCATGTATATATAGAATGCAATTTCATTCTATTTTCATGTATGTATATGTATTCTTATGTATACATAGAGTTACAAAATATCTTTAATACTGTACATTATTAAATTCTTCAATTTATGATATCATTTATATAAACTTATATTAAAAATTGGTTTAAAAACGGAAACAGTTCTAATACAATAATTTTTTCCAATTATAATGCAAAAAATTCCTAAATTTAGTGAAAAAATAAATATAATTCCTATATAGTTTGCCGCAAGAAAATTTTAATTGATTTTACAAAACAATTCGTTATTATTTGATCTGCATGGACATTTTACATAATATTCTTATTTTGTACTCGTTTAAAAACATATTTAAATTATATTTAGGCATATTAAACAAACTATTAATAAAAAAATATTGGAACAAAAATTGTATTCTTATTTTCTTAATTTAATTTTATTTTCTCTTTTTTATATTTTAAGGTATCGTGCACCGGAAGTTCTTTTACATTCAACTCGTTATGGTAGTGCTATTGATTTATGGGCAATTGGTTGTATTATGGCTGAATTATATACATTTAGACCATTATTTCCAGGCAGTAGTGAAGTAGATCAACTATTTAAAATATGTTCTGTTTTAGGAACACCTGAAAAGGTAAAATATAAGAAAGAAAAAAATCCTTTTTTTTAAGGTTGCGACTTTACTACAAATATTCTACTTAAATTTCTACTTTTTTTATATGTGTATTGCGATTATAATAAAAAAAAAATAACTTGTAAAGGTTGGAATTCCAAAAGAAAAATGTAATTTAAGAAAATTACGTAATATAATTAAGTGTTTCTTGTAATGTTCATGACCATCTATTTGCTTAAAAACTAAATAAAAAATATTTAGTGTTTATGCTAATAAAATACATATATATTGTATATACGTATACGTATATTATTTTATATTGGTAGACTCATTTTGTTGTTCTACTTTTTCAATTTAAAATAATTCTAGCCTCAATAATATTCTCGTTTTTTATTCCTTATTTTATGAAAATACATATAAAATTACTATTCTGAAATTCTAATTTGTTTTAAAGTATTTAAAGTTTAAGACATTTTGGTAAATTAATTATTATTTCGCAGTATTATGTATGTATGCACACTTATGGTTTAGTTAAATTAATGAATTTAGGTTTAAAAAATATTCACGTATAATTAATACTGCATTCCATTTCCGTAAATAGTAGACATTTCACGTTCTATTTATATTTTAAGTACGTGATTCATTTTTTATTAAAAGGGAACTTAAATGAAGATTGAAAAAACTGCCTTGTAAAGCATTGAAATTATAATCGCTATGAATTTTTAATTCCTCTAATTGCATGAAATTTTCCAAATCTTCATTACGGTTTTAAATAGTGACTTTGTTTATAACATAGTTCGGATAAGATTTGACCGCTACAGTTTGATTAATTTCTGAAATATAATTAAATTATTATAAAAATCATATAGGACAGTTATCATTAGAATTTAAACTATAATTTTTAAAAATTTTCTTAGAATGAAATTCATATTTCTAAAATCATTTATTCTAATAATAAATTAAAATAATAGAGCCGGGATATAGCAAATGATAAAATTCTTAAAAATCTTAGAATTTCAATTATTCTTTGAAATAGGCAGACGAACTCGTAGACGTAATACAAGAAAATATATACTCTGACCAATATTTTCAGCGTGAGAAGATTGTTAAATTTTGGTACCTTCGAATGTACATATGTAGATATGTGTAGTACATATCGTGACTCTTGGCAGTGTGATAAGAGTTTGAAAATTTGTAATTTTAATTTAATGAATTTAAAGTTCAACATTTCAATTATTAGTTTTTTTTTTCTGTTTTTTTAAGGATGATTGGCCTGATGGTTATAAATTAGCATTAGCAATACATTTTCGTTTCCCAGAATGTATTAAAGTACCATTAAATACAATCATAACAAGATCTGGTAATGCTGGTTTACAATTACTTGAAGAATTATTACATTATGATCCAGAAAAAAGGCCAACAGCCCAACAATCATTAAGATATCCATATTTTCAAGCAATAAGTGCAAGACCATCAGCAACAACAAAACGTATGCAATATTTAACAAGTGTAACACAGATTCTTCCACAGCCAACAACAAATGTTATTCAACAACAACCACAACAACAATTACAACAAATTCAACATCAACATCATCATCAGCATCATTCAATACATGAATCAATACAAAATGTTTCAGCAACATTAAATAATATTAAAAATGGTAATACAATAATTGTAAATAATAATAATAATCAACATATTATATCAAATAATAGTAATAACAATAATAATAGCAATAATAATGATGGAAGAAATTCAAAATTAAGTTATGTATCAATGAATCCTGATACAATAGTTAGAAATGATTTAAATACAACACATATAACTAGTATAAATAATAATAACAATAAATCAATTGAAAATTTAAATACATTAAATTATAGTTTTTTAAATAATAAAACAATTAATAATAATAATAATATTAGTAATAATAGTTTAATAAAATCATCATTTAAAGATTCTGATTTAAATCAAAATGTCTCAATAAATAATAATAATAATGATTTATTTTTAAATGGTTCAATATTAAATGAAAGTAATAATAATAATTATTCAAAAATTAAAGATAGATCAAATAATGATTTTTTATTTAATGAAAAAATTAGTGATATTTTTGTAAATCGTAATATTAATCATAATAATAATAATAGTAATACAAATAGTGTTAATTCAAATAATCGAAGCCAAATAATATCAACAAATTTTTATAATCATCCAGCTAATGTATCATTTAATAATGATTCAATAAATCGTAATAATCGTAGCTTTTCAATATATGATCCAAATGTTATAACAATAAAAAATTCAACAATTAATAATAGTAATAGTAATAATAATTTAATAAATTCAAATAATGGATTTTATTTACATTCAAGAATTAAAAATCCAAATAATATTAATAATTTAGAATTATTAAATACAAATTATGCAGATTTAAAAGTTTATAATGCATTCTCAAAACATTCAATTAATAATCAACAACCAACAACAATACAGCATGGACAACGTAATATTATATTTAATCCAAATAATACAAATATTATAAATAATACAACAAATAATAATAATGAATCATTAGAAAGATTATTAAATAATCGTAATCGTTTATATAACACAAATAAAATTAATAATGATTCAATAGCTAATGATATAGAAAATAATAATTATGATAATAATGAATATTTATTAAGAAGAAGAGATATATCAAAAGATAGAAATATAATTCTAGATGATAATATAAGAAGGCCATTAAAAAATATTGTTGATGATCATAAAAATGATGATGATGAATTATCAATTATTTTAGGGTGAGTAAATTAATTTCATTAATTTTGGATATAATATGTGGAATGAATTCAAAATAATTAGAGCCATAAAACTTAGAATATAATTTAAAGCTTTTTTATTTTTTTGCAAGTATCATTTTAGTTTTCGACTAACTAATTTGTTTAGAAATATCTCGTTAGTTTAACAAAATAAATTGTTTTAAAAAATAATGATTTTAATTTCAATTTTCTTTTTAAATGTTTTTAAGGACAAAAATTAAATCATCAACAAAATCACGTAAAAATTCAAAATCTAATATTCATTTGGAAGATATTTTTGGAACGTTATCAACAGGTACAATTGAACAAAATATAGGATTAAATGGCACAAAATATCCAAGTACAGTACCACCAGATAAAGTTTCTGTATTAAGAGATTCTGATATTATGGTAAATGGTTTTGCAGATGACAGTGATAATATGAATGGTAGCTTTTCAACAAGCGGAAATGTATTAGGATCACGTCAAAGAAATTTAAATGATTCAGCTTATATTTCAAATCGGTAAGCAATATACATAATATGGTTGTATTTTTATTTATTATTATATTTAATTTTTAGTGGTGTTACAAATATGTCAGATTACAAAAATCCAAAATTATTTCCATGGGAAGAAAATGGTGGTGGTGGTGGCGGCGGTGGTGGTAGTAATAATAAAGACCAAGAAGAAAAATTAACAGCATGGATGGTTCCTGATAACAGTAAGTATATATTTTATAAGTTTAAAATAATTAACAATTTTTTTTTATTTATCTTAATTTTGAGATTGAATTAATTTTTTTTTTAATATTATTATGTACATATAAATTTTCTTTGATAAAAAAAATTTAAACATACAATATAGGACGCATAATCTATAATGATAGAATTGAAGAATTTGTTTGATATATATTAGGAATTAGTTGCTGGGGTGAGTTCTATATTTTGATGTGATGTTCTGTCCATATTATTTTGTGTGTTGATGTTGAAAATAATTATTTTTTAATATCAAATGAAACATTTTAATAATCTAGTATAATTTTGTATTATCATAAATTTTTGACGATAAATCAGTAAAACTCAGTCTTTGAAATTTTTAGCATCATAATTTTAGTTGAGGAGAAGAAACTTCCACTTTAACTTTTTACGATGCAATGTGTTTATTTAAAGTGTACAAAGAGAGCTTTCAAAGAAAATTTAATATTATAATTAATGTTAATATATTTTTTAATATTAATCAAGGTATCGCATCTATATCATCTTCTACCCAATATCAATTGACCGTAAAAACTGTTTTTTTTTTTCCAGTTTTTAATAAGATCAGTTGATTTTCTTTTGAGATTTACTGATGAATTTTGACGCTTATACCTTTTACGTATTTTCTATTAAATTATTCCATAAAATTAATATTCTTTTTCGAGTATTTATATAAATTATGTGTAGTGTTATTAAAATTTAAATTGGAATTTGATTTTATTTTTTTTTTGTAATGTCTTTAAGTATTTTATTGTATATTTTTTTAATTTTGATAATTAAATAATATAAATTTTTTTAATTTTTTAGATTCAATAATCGATAAAAGAAATTATATTACAAATAATAATGGTAGAATTGATTGGGCAGCAAAGTACCTGAACAAATAACATATCGATATTGGAATTATTTTACAAGAATACAACATATTAAATTTTATATGGGAAATAACAAGAAAATTAAATAAAATAATGTATAATTTAAAGGTCAAAATAATATCTGTGATAAAAATCAAAATATAAAATAAATTTAAAATATAATATAATTAATTTATACTATTATATAATTATTTTTATGTACAATTAATGTAAAATATGTGTTTATAGAAAAATTTTATATTAAATAACATATAATAAAATGTAAATTCTCCTATTACTTTAAAATTCTGCTCTTTTGCTAATTTTACATAATTAAAATACATATGGAGTATACTATATTTTAATCTTATAAAAACATTGGGAATTTTCGTAATTTCTTAAATTTTAGTTTTCTTATAAATATAAATTTAAAGCTTAATTTATAATTTAAGAGTGCAGAACAAATCACAAGCAAAAAATATATGCAACCAATTTTAATTTACATATCAAAATTGGAATGGTCCCATAATTTATTATTAATATCCACTGAACGTGTTAATATTAATTTTATTAGGACGTTTAAACGTTAATTGTTTCGTATATGTCCAATAGATAAGATCAGGTATAAATGTCCAATAGATAAGATTAACTTTTTTACCTTTATAGGCTTTTTAGTTATTGTCTGATTATTCATATGGGTCGTCTTAACTTTTCATTTCGCTTTGCTCCAATTTTGCAATTTCAATTGGCTTACTCAATTGATTTTGTACGTTGCCTATGGTCGCATTTGGTCCTTAAAAATAAGATGTAAGAATTTTACTCTTTTCTATCATCTACTTTTAATCTATCATCTACTTATAGTATGATTATTAATATAGTGTCCCAATAAAAATTTCTAAGTATTTTCCTGCTTAAATTTTATGTTGTACACCTTGACTTCAAAATTATAAACAAAATTGTATATTAACCCAATTCAGCTTACTAGTTCTTATTGCTGAATTGTGTAAGGCAATACAAATATTTAAGAAATCCAAGATATTTTATATTTATAGAAAAATTATAAGCAAAATCATTGATGTATATAATAAAACTTGTATATATATTCTTTGTAACTTATAATCTTTATAGTTACACTTTCTATAATTTCATTTAAAAATTTTATGTTACAAAATATATTTACATTATAAATTTGTACACAAAATAATTGTTGATAAATAATGTTTAATAAAATATTTGTAAATATATATGTACATATAATTAATACATAACATGTATGTAAAATTTTTTATATAATAATTTTAAAATAACCATGTATGTATAATAATGTAAAAAACGAATATTCTAAAAGAAAAGATAAAAACACATCAATAAATACAATTTAAATGTTAATTTTTAATATATAAATATGATTTAAATGTCTATTAAATGTTGTTTAATATTATAAAACATTTAAATAAAAAAAAAATTATATTCATTTATTTTATTTATTTAATTATTAAATAACGATAACCAAGATCTAACCACACCTTAATTATCGGAGTTCAAAATTTTATTGTATTGCGAATTTAATTCAAAGTAAAAGAAGGAAATTGAAATTATTAAACTCTGACACAAAAACAATTTGCATTACTAACAAAAGGTAAAATTATATTTTTTACTGTTAAAGTACACTCATTTTCAATGGTTAAACCCTTTTTTAAATTCGTCGCAGTCAAAATATTATTAGGCTAAGCAAGGTTATCCAGTTAACTAAAAATTTTGTTTAAAATTGATTGAATTTTTTTGATAAGAAATTTTCATTTAAATTAAAATACTTTTATCTTAAAAATTTAAATAATTACTCAAGATCATTTTAATGATTTTTATAATAAATTGAAAAAATTAAATATCCTTAAACGGTTATCACCTTCAATGGCGTTATTTTTGAAATCTTGAGGAACATAATTAAAAGTGTAAAAACGGAATAAGTTATGTTAAATATTTTAATTAACACTTTCAAACAAAAAATTCATTTCCCAAACTTTTAATTAGAGTAAAGTAATATGAAAAATTTTATATTGATGCAATTTGCATTTGGATTCGAAAACTTTTTTAATTAAAAATTATTAAGAAAATCGAACATAGTATAAGATTACAGGAATTTGTGAAATAAATGAATAAGCGGTCTTACTTATCTTAGAAGCTTCATAAAATTAAAATATTTGAACAAGCGCATAAAAACTTCATATCACACTATTAATTTATTGAATTATTTTTCAATTATTATAGTGCAATTATTAATGTCACACTATTTATTAATTTGTAATTATTTTATATATGGTATATAAAAATAATATTCAAGGGCCATTGTAGGCGATTCTTTTCATTTATTCCAGAAATCTAATTACTGCCTAAGTAGAATGAAGGAATTTTTTTAAGGTATAGAATTAATAATATTTTTTTGTTTTATTTTAAGAGAAATTCAAATTATAGACAACTTCACAGTAAAGAAAGTTTAATTGTATACATCTTAATATTTTCTAATAATAATTTTCTCTCAACCAAATTTTTATTTCATTGTAAACCATATGTAAAAAGTCCGACTGATGATTTAGATTTACATTTATACTAGATGTCTTATACTAAAACTACTATTTAATAGTAGTTGTAGTATGAATAACACAAATAAAATTATTTTCAAAAAATTTTCCACCAGAATATTTTTTCTCTTTATCTTTACATTATATTATGGAAATTTACAAAATAATATGTGTGTATGTGTGTATATCAAAACATTAATTATATAATTTATAAATTAATTGAAAATTTTAGTTCAAAGCGTATAATTAAAATTAATTGCACACTAAAACTTTTTGCATTTTTTTAAATATTAAAGTTCCGTCTGTAAGGGGTGTTATTCCACATTATAATTTGTAATTATGTATATGAAAAATGAAGGTGGATTGTATACACATACAAGCACATAGTTTAATTTTTAAAATAAACCAAAAACAAAAAAAAAAATTTTAAAATATCTGTCAATTAAAATATTTTTATGAAAATTTTTTATATTCCATTAAAAAATAAAATATAATTTCTCTTAATATACCATAAGACATATTTCCTATTGACATAACCTTGATAATTTCTTAAATAATAATAAAGTGATGTAAAGGCAACATATAGTATTTCAAGAAATGCATATGAAAAAATTATTAATTCGTTTATAATATAAAAATTATGTTAACGTTTTCTAGTTGAGGTCAAAAATCTTAATTTAATTGAAATTACTGATACTCAAATTGTGGTAATACAGTATTACAGCACAATTCAGCAATTAGTTCTTATAAAGTGAATTTAACAATTTTGTTTTTGTAATAAATACCATTTTATATTTTTTTATATATGTATTTTAAAATATATAAAATAGTAATATATGTAGGTACCATTTTTTTTAAAAAATGTTAAATTTTTTTTTTGGATATTCATATTGGAGTACATTATTAGTAATATTTTGGAAATTTCATTTAAAATTTATTAATTTAATAAATTTTTTTATGTAAAACAAGTAATTGTAATAATTAACGAACGGACAAAAGTGAAATTCTTCTTAGATACAGAAAGTAAAAGTAAATTGGACCTTTTACATAATAGTTTAGAATGAAACATAAAATTTGTTTAAGGAAACATTAGATTATTTTAAAAATATTAAGTATGCAATTAACAGTGATAAATTCGACAATTAAAATTGTTAAAGATAGTTAATATTATATTTATAGTAAATACACATTAATACAACAGTTAAGTATATTGTTATAAACTCTAATATGAAATATCATTAATTATTGTAAATATTTAATTTAAAACGTAGATTTTTCATTGTAGAAGGTAAACGCGGGGTAAATTTAATACGTACTAGGGTTCCCAATTCTCACAAAATGATACTTCTTCAAAATTTAAAGTAATCACCAAAATCTACCTTATAATTGCGAATACCAAATTTGTCTCAATATTCAAGCATTTTCAAAATGTGCTCCAATTTTGAGTTTTATGTATATAAAAATTGGTATTAAATAACTCAAAAAGTGATTAAAGTAGCTATAAAAAACAACACTTTACTATACAAGAAAAAAGGTAATCAAGTTATTCATGAAAATCCACCCCAATTAAAGCATTTAACAAAGAAAACAAAGGTAACAAAAATTACAAAAAAAAATAAGTACCTTAATTCTTGACATTTCACAGAACTTACAGATCACAAAAATTAATAAGAAAATAGCAATAAAAACAATTAAATAAGAGCAATTGCAACGAACTGAAAATTAAAAAGCAAAACTTTTACTTTCATTACAAAACAACAGTGACTTACTTTTTCAGAGTCGAACACATAAGGTAAATAATGTAAAAAAGAAAATAAGAAATAACAAACCTGCCCTGCAGGTATAAAGTTGAAAACCGCTAAAATAACAAAAAAGAAGAAAATGAGAGGCAACAAAAAAAACAGAAGGATTTAAGCGGTGACTTTAAATTATCACTGAATTTTTTTTTTTTTGCATTTTTTTCTACTTAATACGTAAAATTCCACAGGTGAGTCAATAGTTGTTACTGGTTTCCTGATCTTGTTGTTGATATTATATATTTTGAACGAGTTAAGAGTTTGAGCATGGTTTTATTGTACACTGGATGAAAATGATATAATCCAAAGTCGTTTATACAAGCTTACAAGGTAAATTTAGTAGAGCATATGTAGGTATATATATGAAAAAGAACAAAAGAGAGTATAAACGCTATAGATAATATTTTTAAAATGAAAATTTTATAAAAGCAACAAAATCAATTTCTCAATTTTCAAGTTAAAGATTTAAAAATTTTATTAAAAAGTAGTTTGTATGTAGGTATATAGGTGTACTTACCATAATTTGATAGTTGCCCTTTCTTGGTTGATCTCGATGCAAAATGCATTATGAATTTTTTTTCCTTATCTTGTCTTTTATCAAATCTTATTATTGTTCTTTTCTTTCTTGCTACCATTTGCGACAATTCCCAATTAAAAATTACAAATTTCTGTGAGTATAAAAGGAACCAATTTCAATGTTAATGTTATCATTCAAGTTCAGCAGATCATAAAATAAGTATCTTCTACTTGAATTTCATTTAAATTTTTTTCTTCTTCTCATCAGTTATTGTAGCATAAATTTAAAAGCAATGGCATTCAAAGTAAGAATAATTTTATAAATTATTTTTTTTTAGTTACTATTTTCTATTTCAATTATTCATCATTATATACGGAATTAATAAATTTTTTTTAATATTAGTTCTTAGCAATTTGTGCATTTGTTGCACTTTGTAATGCTGGTGCTGTACCAGTTGTACAACAACATCATCATCACCAACCAGCAGCAATTTTATTAAAATCAAATCATCATGACGACCATCATGGTCACCATGATTATGAAGACCATCATGCACCAGCTAATTATGAATTTGCATATTCTGTACATGATGGACATACTGGTGATGTTAAAAGCCAACATGAAGTACGTCATGGTGATTCTGTACAAGGACAATATAGTTTAATTGAACCCGATGGTCATAAACGTACAGTACATTATCAAGCTGATGCACACAATGGTTTTAATGCTCAAGTACATCGTGAAGGTTCACTTCATCCACAACAACATTATCATCATCAACCAGCTGTAGCAATTGCACATCATGCAGCACCTTTAGCTGTCGCACATCACGCTGCACCAGTTGCAGTTGCACATCATGCTGCACCAGTTGCTGTTGCACATCATGCTGCACCAATTGCTTTAACTCATGTTGCATCACATCATGCAGCACCTTTAGCTGCTGTTGCTCATGTATCAAGTCATCATCATGCTACTCCAATTGCTGTTGCACATCATGCTGCTCCTATTGCTGTTTCACATCATGCAGCACCTTTAGCTGTTGCACATCACGCTGCTCCAGTTGCAGTTGCACATCATGCTGCACCAGTTGCTGCTGTTGCTCATCATGCTACATTACATCATGCTGCTCCATTAGTACACTCAGCTACTATTTCACATCATCAACCAGCAGCTATTGCACTTACACACCACCATGCTGCTGATTTACATCATGGAGCACAAATTTCATATTCAAACCAAGTACATCATGGTAATCATCATCATTTGGCTTACCACCACTAAGAAAACAAAAAATATTTTATTGTATTTACATTTAAATAGAATTGTTTCAGATAACTTATTATGTATGTAAATATTTATTACAAAATTGAAAAAAGAAAAAAAAAATTAATGAAAAGCATTCACTTACCTTCATCCTCATAATTGAAAAAAATACATTTTTGAACTGATTTCTATTAAAAATTCCATTTTTATATTTAGAAAATGTTTTTTAATTAAAAATAAAACTGCATTATAAAAATATTTGAGTTATTTTGTTTTCTCTACGAATCCTTCGATTTTTAAGTGTCTTTCCATTTTAACTTAGAATTTAAAGCGGTAAAATTAATCACAAATTTCAAAACATTACTAACAGCACTTTTGAAAACTCATAGTGAGTTTATAATTTAAAACTTTATTATTAATGAAATGTTTAAAATAAATGCAGAAGTTTTCATAATATTAATGTATAAATTTATAATATCTATAGATTTATTTATCACTATAAAAATAAATCACCACTTGAATTAAGCATTCCAACAAGAAACATTTTTCTGAAATTTGCTTTTTTAAGGACGCGCGTCTTTTGATTATTTTATTGGTATACCTTAATCCTGTTTACACGGCGATTTTTGCATTAATATTTGACATAAACGTTTTACTTCCCTTGCAAAAATTATCGTCATCGTGTAAACGCCGGTATTTAAATACTGTTTTTTTTTTTGACAGTTACATGCCGGGCATTGCATACATTTAGAGTGACCGTTTAAACCAAATAATTAAAATCGAGATAAAGTAGTACATTTTGCTATATAAAATAAAAAAATCTGTCGAAACTTACCAAAACCTGCATCGAAAATTGTTAAACTATCTACATTATAATATGATTACTGTAATGGCAAAGCCCGATAAATATAAAATTTTGCTAATAAGCCAATAAAACGGGAAAATAGATATTCAAGATCCATTAGAAAAAGTAAAAATTTTTATATTTTAGTCTATGCATATTAGAATTTGGTGGATTCCCACAGAAATGTAAATTATTCGAATTGTCTTCTTCAATTATGATTTGTACTGTGGTCGAAGGAGTAATGATTCAGAACATAGTTAAGTTCCAAAAAATAATTTTTTTTTGGTTTTTTTACATGATTACAATTTCCGAGTTTTTAAAAAGATTTTTAATTTATTTTAGATATTAAAAAAAAAAGATTTTTTTACGGATAAGTAATTAATTTATTATGACAAGATAATATGGAATGATAATGACTGTTACCGCGCGAAAATTGAAACATTTATCGCGTACATTGTGAAAATAATTTTGACATTTCAAAATGTCAATTTAAAGCCAAAACATTTTCGAAATTGTAGTATATTTCTTATTATTAAATTTTGTCATAGATTTCTTTCAATTCGATTTAAATTTGGTGAAGTTTGATGTACAAACATTCTTCAATTACTTATGTGCATTGAAAAATTAATCACTTTTCAATTCTAATAAAAAACCATAAGCAGGTATTTTATTTAATGTCTAAACTTAGCCGATTATTTCAAACACTATACAAGTATTTAAGTGCTATTGAAGTTTACCTAGTGAGTAGCGCAAATTCAAAAGTTATGTCAAAGCTGTATTGCGAAAAATAATTCAAAATAGAGAATTTGAAGTTCAGAAAAAAATGTAAATGGTCGAAAATGAAAATTTTCTTACATCGTAACTGAGATGAATAAATTATGTTTTTATGCTTAACGTTGTACATTACAAATTGTGAGTTTTATTTCTATACATTAGTTTGCCGAAAATCAACTCGATAATGAAATATGTTATCCAACAGAAAAACTTTACGATATCAACTCATCTGCTTCTAAAAAATTAGCTGGATTTATTTAAAAATTAACCAACAATAAAATTCAACCTTACAATGTACAGAAGTGACAATTAATAAATTAGTGTTAAAATTTTAAAAGATTAACCACAATGAATTCTAACAGCATTTTTTCCAAATACAATTAATTTTCAATAATGAATTTGGTTAGTGTTAAAACTTATTAGATTGCGCCTTTTACATAGATTTAACTAATATAAAAGTATTGGAATTAAAGCAGAAAGGCAAAACACAATGCAGATAATTTATTATATACACTCGCATGCATCATTTTAATAACATCAGCAACGGATCATGTTAGATATGTTAAAATTTTTGGATGGAAATTTTGCTTCCCCAGAATTGGAATTAAGATTTAAATATATTTTAAAGTAAGTATGCCAGAAAATTAAAGTTGCAGGAAAGCCCTACCTACATTTATATGCTTATATTGTGGGTATAAACGGTTTTAATTAGAACTTAGAAAAATATAATACCATGAGTACGTTACACGTCATGGCCCTATCAAATATTAATGAAGTTATTATTAGTTAATACGTACCTATCTACCTACTTAATAAATTATTTAGAACACAAAATATTGTTAATTAATACATTGAAAACAATTAAGTAATTTTTTTAATTCCTATAAAACAAAAATCAATTTAAATTTATTGCTAAGCAAGTTAAGTTATAAAATTGTTACACAAATTTATTGGGCTTCAAAAAAGAACCTAATTAAATACTCGTAAAACTTGATTATGAAAAAAAAAGTGTTACGATTTAATTTTTGATATTTCATAGTTTTTTTTTTTTCTTAATGAAATTTTTATTTCATTAATATTGTTGGGATACATACATTATGTTTCTACATACTACGTATATGAAGGCAGTCAATATCGTGGCAATAACATTTAACATCCATTTTATTAGACAAGATTTAAATACAAAAATTTACTTTAGCATTTTAAATTTTTATTCTAATTAATATTTTTTTATTTCTTAATTTTTTATTTCAGAAAAGTGTAACGTTAGTGTCATAAGTGTAAGTATTTTAATAGACGCAATGGTTTAAAGGTATCAATAAGGGGTTTTTTTTATGAGAACAAATGCAAATCCGAAGGTTCATCAAATCACTGAAATGTCAATTATCTACGGTGATCACGTTTTAAAGTATATTCCAAGTTTTTATTATATTTCTTGGTTCATTTGTAGTTTTTATACCGGCTTCATTATAAAATGGTAAAAGACTTTTTAAATGATATTAAAAACTTTTCATGCTAGAATTTCTTCATTATCATAAATGCCACGTACGTATATAAATTCATAATTTGTCACATTCGTTACACTTTTTAGTTCAATATAATATATGAATAATTAATTGAATTATAACAAATTAAATTTAGTTAAAAACATATGTATGTATGCATGTACTCCAACAGTTTGAAATTTAATCAAAAATGTACTCTAATAATTTTAGTAAAAGAATTTTAATAAAAGTTTTAAATCACCAATATTACTAATTTAAATCTAAATGACCACGTATCATACAAATAATATATGATACCAAAGCACGCTTTCAAGTCTATAATAAAAAAGTTCATGTGACGAAAATAATTAATTATTATTGAATTTTTCCAATAAATTTGTAATTGATTTTATCAATGATCTTATGAAATTTTTTGTATGTCGGTGATAAAATGTTCATATTCGTAAAATTTTAAAATATATTAAAATCAAATTTTTGATTTTGGAATTTGATATGTATAATACTTAGAACAAGATGATTTATTTTATAATGCAATTAAAATAATATATTAAAAATTGTAAGCAGAATAAAGCTTATTTGAAATTTTTACAGAATTGTGAAAAAAAAATTTTAATAAACTTTTTTTGGGCAAAAATCAAGGTCTTTTCGATTATACTTCAAAGTTAAGCAAAATTAAAATTATTCAAACATAGTTCTATGAAATACTTGGAGAATTAAAATTAGTTTTTAATTAATTTCTATCTTTTTCGTATTTTAAGTGTGTATGAATGGCCTTATTCGAATGATGTATTCGAAACGCTTTTAAAATTTTTTATATTAAATATTTTAAATTTATCTTTAATTTTACTTTGTCTTGCATTACGAATGAAATAACGTATCAATATTTAGTATTTAAACATTCTAATTTGTAAAAAAAACATACTCCTAATTATTTTTCGATTAATTTTTTCCATTAATAAATTTTATTGGAATATAATTTAATTTTTGAATTAATTAAAAATTTTTTTAATTTATTTTTTTTTTTCTTTTTTTGAATATCGTTAAATTATTCTAAATAAATAAATTAATTTTTTTTAAAAGAATCTTATGCATGTAGGTACATATATACTAAACAGGTGTTAAAAAATAATTGGTGCAATAGAAAATATTTTATAAAATTTATGGTATTTGTAATAGCGTTTAATTATTATAAGAGTACATAGTTAATAACCATTAAATTGTCAATCATTTTTATAATTTTAATTTATTTTAAGATTTTACAAAATAGTTTTCATGTAATTTTATATAAATTTTATACAGATATTTTAATTTTAGATTTAATAGAAAAAATTATTTTCACAAAATTTTTACTGCATCTACAAGCAGGCAGATATATTGTAGATTGTATTGGCAGATAGATTGTTCCTATTCTCTATAACTATTACTTTTAATAAAGTTATAATAATTATGATTGCGACACTATTAAGTCTCATTATTCAGTTTAAGTAAATGATAATAAAATCGAATCATATTGTAATAAAACGAATTACAACAATTATTAATAATGACAAAGAAACGAATCAATTTTTTAAAATTTATTTCGAAATTGGTTATATTAAATGTTTTAGATATGTGAAATATTTGGAATATATTGCTAAAAGCACTCAAATTTCTGATTATGATTGCAAATGATATTAAAAAATTTTAGAAACATTGTAAAGTATTGACTACAAATATTATATTGCCTGCATAAACAGTATAGAATTTTATATATTTGATTCGTTAAACATTTCTTTTGGATTTTAGCTTATTGCATATTGATTAAAAATTTAGAAAATATCTATACTTAAATGTATATAATAAAATGTAAAACATTATTATTAATATTCATTTATTTTTCTTTTTAGAGTTTCCCA